TATGATTTTATTCATAGGAACACATTTTTTTTTTGCTTCAATAACAGACTGGCATTTATCCACAAAACAGCAAGATTATTTATTTGTTCAAAGATTCTTGAAAGCCATTCAGAACACACAAATTGGTCCCTTATTTATGTGAACTAATCTATTGAATATAATATTATTTATGTGGTATTAGTAAACTAATGAATTGAAACGCCCAATATGTAAACGCAGACATTAGATAAATTAAACAATACCAAAGAATCTTGTCTAAACAATATAAAATTTTGTCATTTTATTATGGAATATGTGAATCTGTTTATTAAAATAATTTTCTCTTTAATTTTCAGTTTATAAAGATGGAAATGAATGTGTTTTCAAGGGACTGTTGGAGATAACAAAAAGTGCTGAGCTTAGCCTCGTTTTGGATTTGTCACAAATGTATGAATACATTCTGTGAATGGTCTATTGATATAATAAACTGGGAAACTTTGAGCAGGATGTCAACATCAAAAGATATTTAATATAAAAAAGATTTTTTTTCTCTAAACAAAAATTCTTTTCAAACAGTTGCACTTGGACCAACTTTCTTTCAGAATATCCCATGTGGCCATCATACTTCTATATGTGGTACTTGTCAAGCATGTCATTAAAGGATAAAAAATATATATTTTTGTAATATATAAAAATAATTTGTGAAAAATATTATTTTGTGAAAGAAGAACGATTGAGTTATGAAAAGGAAAACCTACCATTATGTAATATAAATAAATTTTTAAGATTATTAGGGAATGTATGTACATTCCATCCTGATGAAACTACCAACATACTGGTACAGTGAAAAAGTCCATGCTATGTATCACAAGAAAATGTACTGCTGTAACCGAATCTACTAGGCCACATATATAGATATTATATGCTTAAAAGTGGTGTAAAACCCCAAAATACTAACAATAAGCAACCACTCCAGTGGCATGAGTGGTTAAAATGTCGCCTCTGATACAGGTTTTGGGTTTGAACCAAAGCCGAATCATACCATATACTTACAAAAAAGGTACTACAGGTAGGCAGGATAATGTGACTGGGTGGGACATGATAAAATGTGTCTGTGGCATAATAACCTAGTGCTAAACATCACTATAAACTGCCACACTACAGATCCCAGTGCTAAACATCACTATAAACTGCCATATTACAGATGCCATAGCAATACAACTGAAATAATTTTAATAAGCACATTGTACCACCTGTTCAGGAGAAATAATTCTTTAATTTCTCAATTGTTTCGAAACATGAAGTATATATTGCTGTATTTCTGAAACACTAGAGCAAGTGCATATTTGGGTCTTATATATTACTAGACAATTTATTTTATAGTAAAATCCAGATCCTGGATGTCCAGCACACAGTGCATTGCACTCAAGTATGTGATCTTGACCCAAAGGTAAAGGGGTGACTGATTGTGTCACAAAATATACTTTCTTAGCTTCATAATGATTAATTCCAGAATATGTTGTTATTGTGGTAGGGTTAACATCATTTTTCAGTACAAGATAAGCAGCCAGTATAAAAAATGAAGGAAAAACCTGGTTAAATCCCAGGAAGAACCACCAATCCACAAGAAGCTACAGGCAATCTGTCTGGCATAACCACACTGGTTGAACCTGAGACCTAAACCCATGCAGACAGGGCGGAGATGGCAATGAGCCCTAATGATAAGTGCTTTAGACCACTAAGCCACTCAGGGCCCCCCAATATATGAAAATTCATCAAGGCATTTAGGTATTATAAACAAATGAGAAAAAAAAACAACTTAAATCTTCTATGACTATGACTTTGACCCTAAGGTTAATGGGGGAAAGCTTATGTGTCACTAGATAAACTGTCTTAGCTTCATGATTCATCTTGAGTATGAATAAAATCCATAAAGTTGTTGAAAAAAAACTAATGGAACAAAAACCACAAGCAAAAAATTAATGCACTACTGTCACCTTGCCTCCAAAATAAAAGAGGCCTGCCATTGTGTCCCAGAGTGGTCATTAACTTCATAATGAATCATTTTTGTATAAACTAAATATATAAGAGCACAAGGAATTATATACAATCAAAGAACATGAAGCAAAAAACCAACTTCAAACTGCTCAGTCTGTGACCATGATCCAAAGGTCAAAAGGACAACCATTTTAGTGACTGGGTAGTCTTAGTTTCAAAATGATTCAAGCTAAATATGAACAAAACCCATCAAGAATTTCAGAAACTATATCCCAATAATATTCTTTAAACCATAATAAATTACTAACAATGATGAATGTAGAAAAAGAAATTCTGATGGCAACCACTTAGGGGTCATGTTTTGTCCTAGGTTATTTTTTTAATCAATAATTTTATCAGCCAATCAGATGAACTTTACATGTTCACATTTGGGAGACTAAGCAGTATGACTAAAGATCATCATTGTCTACCAAACAAATTAATTCACTTTCAGAGTTTTGATAGCTGAATATGACCCCTAGATATATATATATATATATATATATATATATATATATATATATATATATATATATATATATATATATATATATATATATATATATATATATATATAATATGCATAAGTGGTTTTTTTTATTATTTGCTTGATGTATTTTTATTTGACATAGTCAACAACTTTAAAATAACAGATTATTCCATATAATCTATATTATGTTGCAAATTTATAAAACTGGTTCTACTGAAGTTTATAAATTCTATATTTCTAAAATTAATTTTTGTAAGCTTATTAATGTTTCATAAGAATGAGAACTCTCATCACAGCCAAACACCTGTAATTCTCAACAGACATTGCATTTTACTCTACCTGCATTACTATCAAACTGATATTTCTGCCTCTTAGCTGCTGAATTGTCAGCTAGTTAGATGCAAGAATACACCTTTAATTTCTGGATATCACCCTTACTGAAACCACCCATGACCTTGATGATATAAGCCAATGTTTCAAATTTTATCAAAATCTGTTAATAACTATGGCTTTCAGAGGAGTATCAATTTTCAAACTCATTCAGACTTTAATGATAAAGATATATTCCAAGTTTTATCAACAACAGATCAGAAATATGCCCTCCAGATTGGTAACAAGCAACTAAAGATGGGCAGATGAACAATTTACCCACAATACTTTAAGCTCTTTTGGTCAAAGGTCAAGTTTGGAAGCTTGCAAAATGGGTAATGTTACTTAATTTTGCCAATGGTACATAGCACCATCCATTCAAGTTTCATGATGGACCTGTAATTGTCATAGAAACTGAGATAAAAGCAAAAGCTTAACATAATCACTGGTGCACAAAAAGTGGGTCCTTATGATCTATTTTAGCAAGTGATAGAGAGTACCCCCAAAAAAGGGTAGAATGATAATTCAGTTATCATGACAGAATATCATAAGTGTGTAAGATTGATTAGTAAAACTAAAAACCAATTATTGGAAGGAACCCTTTTAGCCACAACTCACATCATTGATTGTGCACCACAAATTATACCTAAAACATGAACATGAAGACTTACATTATACTGATGGTTATTTATGCAGAAAACAATATTCCCCATCATTATATCTGTGGTGCAATTGATTAGCAATATTGTATGTCATTCCTGATATTGTAAGTCATTCCTGATATTGTATGTCATTCCTTACGTTCTTATATTCTGAAATGTCAGCATGAAATTATGAAATCAGGGTACATGTACATGTACTTTATTATTAGGTCAATTTCATCATAGTGAAATCAATAGCTTATGCAATTAAATGCCAAAGGGAGCAATTTATGGTATTAAAGTAATAAAAGAGAAGGGGGTAACCACAAATTTGAAATTACTATACAATTATCAGAAGAAAATGAACACTCAAGATCTTTCTTTAAAATCATAGAGGACAGGATGTATGTAGACTGAGAAGGTTTGAGGATTTTTAAAGACCAGTCTGAGGTTGAAGCAAATGATGAATGTTGATAGTTCTGTAAGATCAAGGCTTTCTATAAAAAAAACAACTGCATGCAGTCATATAATTACTCTGAAGTCTATATTTTTGTTCAATACTACAATGAACTCCCCACTAATGTCAGCTCTCAATGTCTTTGGCAACCAAATAATGAGGGCTTTGAGTCTTAAAATTGTCAATGGTGACTAAAGGTTTCAAGCAGATTATGCAATGATTGCTGAAGTTGGACAGGTACTTGGAGCACTGACTGGATTACCACACTGACATTTATCAGCTTTGTTACAGTTGTTTTCCATAATCAATATTAAGTTCTAATATTGTATATACTGAACCCACTTTTAAGTTAAGTCATACATGCTTGTAATTTAAGTGCAACTGCAAACCAAACTATCCAGATCTACCATCACATCATACACCAGTAGATCTGCCATCTAGGTGTCAGCAAATCTGGTCACTACAGTTTTTTAAGAGGAACCCATGTAATATAAAACATTAACCCTTATGTGCCAATACATTATGTGAAGGCAGATCTGGTCCATATTGTTTGCAGTTGTACTCAGCTTTTAAGCAAGTATAGATAACTGATTATGATCTCTATTTCAAACCAATTAACACTTATCAAATTTATCCACCAGTATTGGAGCCAAGGTGGCAACAACCATTTTGGGAGTCAGGTTTTGGTGACCTCTAAATTAGACTTAGCAGTGTGGCTGAAGAGTATAAATGTGTGCTTAATAATTTCATCCACTTTCAAATTTCTGAAAGCTTTATTTCCACTGGTTAATTCAAAGGTCACCAGAACATGATCTCTAAGTGGTTTCTGTAAGATCTTCATGTAGAACAGTGGAGATCTTATTTTCATCAGACTGAAATTCATCTCAGTAAGTTCTATTCAATGAGATCAGTGAGAATAACCTAATTATAGTTTTTAGTTTTGTTGGTCTTGATGGCTCTTTTGCTTAAACATGTTTAGGAAATGAGAATTCCCTTCCAAAAACACATCAAATTAGCTGACTCAAGATGGTCTGGTGGGTATCAAACCCACAACCCTTTGATCATAAGTCTGATGTTCTACCAAATAAGCTACATCTATTCTGAGTCACTTTTAATGTTCCAGTGTCTACTTTTGGCTTTATGAACAAGAGAGTGATTGGAAATGAGATCTGGGTCCACCATTGTGAGAAGGAGACCTGGACAGTTATGTGGTCAAACTTGCTTGTCTTTACAAATCACTCACATCTGTCTGCTTCAGTTCCAATCTCAGCTATATTGGTAATATTTCCCCCAACGAAATATAACTGCAGTGTAAAATCTACCATGTGCTGAAAAATGGCTTTAATCCATCATACCTCACTAAAAAAAAAACTGAGAAAGGTTTCTATATATGCTTTGCTATTGAGACAACTCAAAAGATGTCCAGTAAAATTACCAACAAACAAAAAAACAAAAGAGACATCATACTAAGAGAAGCAAATAATTTATTTACTTGTCCCAGTCTACACAAATTAAAATTAAATTTATGAAAATGTTTATATTATCCATCTATAATGTGTTAACCTGAGATAATCTCTTAACAAATTCATCAAGTTTCAACTAAAGAGAGGTCAAGAGGTGGGTAAAGTAATTCTGGCCAATCTCTGTTCTCATCTCTTTGTATTTAACACTGGGGAGTTAAATGTGGCAGTTCAACTGGCCAAAACTGACCACAGGTCAAGGAGGTGACCTTTTAGTCCTGAAGGGGTAAAGAAGTTTATTATCTGGCCAGAGGATAAGGTGCTCTAGCAGTCTGCACTTCTGTAGTGGACAATGGTCACTGCCACTGAAGTATAGCTATCTACTCCCTCAAGTAATGCATATTTGATCATGATGACCACAATACAGAAGCAAGCTTCACAAAATTTTGTCTCACCACCCCACCCAACCCAACCCCCTGTTGCTTCCTTTATTTACCAGCACCTTTAATGCAACATGATCACACTTTTAAACTACAAATTTTGTCTCATGTTAAATAGGAAAAAATAAAACAAGTCACATTAAAGAAAAAGATCAAAACAAAAGGAATACAAGAACTTTCAAAATCTTTATTGATTAATTATCTGCCTAATTTGACCCAGCTTTGCTAGCCAAGGTTCCAGTGTGTTAACCCTGTCTACACCTTGATGGATCATAGAGACATTTCAGTGCTTTAGGTCTGTGAATTTCATTGGATGCAGCAGTAAGCCACCAAATCCAACCAAAATCAAGCTGTTCAAATCTGAACACTGCACCAATAAGACAAAAGCAGCACACAAATGAAATGAACTCACAAATCAACAATTTTCCACTGATGGTCCAAGTAACAGCTTCTCTCTGGTACACAGTCATACTTTTGATGTTAAACTTACCAAGTATTCTTCTGAAGGCAATTGCATCCACCATTATCTGCCTATACACTGCTGTTATATGCTGTTGGATAGTTGGCATTACCTACTAAGAAAGGCAACTAATAAAATTCAAAGGATGTGGCCTGGACAAAGCAATGATATAGCTGATCAATCTGCCCTGGTGTAGATAGTGTTAGTATATCAGAACCTTGGCTAGGGAAGATGCATTTGGCCATAACATTGGTTTTCTGTGTCAGGAAAACAATTTCTTCAACAATTGTGTCCTACTGAGAAAAAAAATTAACTCACAAATGTAAATGTGTGTATTTCATAAGAAGGATCAAAATGGTTTTCAACCTATCTGATGAATTTTTTTTAAATAATCAGCTATTGGACAAGTAGTGATCATGTTTAGTTTCAAATACTTTTCATGTATTATAATAAACTTTAATTTTGGGATAGATATTCAAAAAGCACTGCAAGAAAATACACACCATTCTATACATTTTGAGACATTATGGTCTATTTAGACCTGTTGTTCTTGCTCTTTTGGGGTTTAATGCCATTTCTTGGTGTTAGATGGGCTATACATGCTGACCATTCTGTAACCTATGGTCAAACTTGTACCTGGACCTATGTAAAAATATCAATCTTTTAAAACACAAAGTATGCCAATGTTTCACAAATATTCATCTTGTAATGTCCAAATAAATTACATTCATGCACATTCACATCTTTCACCAATATAAAAGATTCCTTTTTTTCTTGCACCTATGATGAATTATAGAAGCAGTGTGGTTTGCAAAATATCTACCATGAATGTGCTTCTCCAGCCCTATGGTCTCAGTGTGGTAAAAACCTAATTTCCATAACATTAGGGAAAGGAAGATTCTGGGAATTTTCAATCTCTATGTCCGTTTCATTCTGAACTTACCTCAGCTCTAATGTGGGGGAGTCAACTGGCGTTGGAGAATCCACAAAACATCCTAAAATAAAATAAGTATACCATTTATTACATACAGAAAATGCACCTGCAATTGAAGTCAACATCAAGGATTCATGCTATGTAAGAAATAAAAACCCTCTCCTTCAACCCTTCACAAAAATGTAACCATTCGATTAACAGGCAAACTTAAAATAAAGTGAAGTCATAATTCCATAAAATTTTCTAAAATTTTTTTTTACAAATCATACAGTTATGTGACCAAGATATTCTTAATATAAAGAATGATATCCAGTTATTGGAGAACTGTGGTAGCTCAGTTGGTAGAGCATCAGACTTGTAATCAAATGGCTTGGTGTTCAATACCAACCCAGACAAGCCAGAGTCAGCAAGCTGGTTGTGTCCTTGAAAAAGGTATGGCAATTAGCTCCCATTTATACTTATAATACAGCCAATAAAATGTTAAAATGTCATAAAAACCAACCAATCAGCCAACCAATTAATGGACTCCTGACTCCAGCAGTTTTAATTCAACCCTTTAGGCCATTTCAGGCTGCTCTATTGAACTGAACACAAATCTCATCTTGGACACTACATTATTTGTTTTGCACTGCACAAGTTATTGAAAAAAAAAAATATGCTTTCACTTAAATTTGGAAAGCATAAAGTCTAATTCAGAACATGTCCAAGTGTGGAAGATGAGATGACTGATCAGATTCATAATATTGTACTTACTGCAATTGCAAAACTGCCAGGGCCACGTGTACTTATTTCTGTCATTTGAAAAAGTTAATTAGAAAATATTGAAAACACCCACTCACTTTCCAGAAATGAACAAGGTGACTAAAGCTCATGCAGCTTTGAATTCGCACCTTCACCAATTATTTGCTTCAGTTGCTGATTACATATAGCAGTGTAAAAGGAGACACTCAAAATTTGTTCCCCATGTACAATTTAAAGAACTTTACTTGTCAATTTAAAAGCCACTTTTGCACAAAGCTTATCTGTTGCTTTTTATCTACTTTGAGTTGGGATGCAATACTTAGTGTTGTGCAGTGAATAAGCTACAGTTAATTCTGATTGATTACACACCCACCCCTACCTCCAATTTGAAGAAACAATAACTAACAATCAGAACTGAATGAGACATTTAACTGCATGATAAGTGGGTTTGTTGATATTTTTTTTAATCTGGCAGAAATTCATGCATATGCCTGCAGCAGCCATCTTTGATGATTCTCAAATTAAAATGTAAACAACTAATAATTATTCACAACTGCTGAAGACTGAACATATTTAACATAGGTATTTATATAGAAAAGGCATTGATGCACCAATTAATCAATTAATCATTCAACCCTGTTGATTTTTACTTCCTATGCTAATGATTAGACAGCATGTTCTGCTTTAGTGAACCATCAGTTTGGTTTCAATCCATAAAATCATTCAAAAGTTCTTGTGTAGAAATTGAGTGCTAGTGATTTAGATTTTTGAAGTAGCTTTAACAATTTTTCAGTCATATTTCTATGATTCCTGCAGTGTGGCAGTTTATAGTGATGTCTAGCATTGGGGCATCATGCCACATAATGTCCCACCCAGTCACATTATCCTGACACCAGGCCTACCAGACCTAACACTAACCTCTTAATGCTGAGCACCAAGCGAGGCAGCTGTTAGTACCATTTTTAAAGTATGACTTGGTCTGGGTTCAAACCCACAACCTCCCACAATAGAGGCAGACGCTCTAACCACTAGGCCATTGGAGTGGTGGTGTAGAAATTGAAGGGCAAAGTTCTAAATCAAACAGATTGCCAAAACTCTTTAAATTTTACCACAAAAAAGTTTGGTTATGCATGTGGGCCAGTTATTGATTCAAAGCCATACCACTTGATGTAAATGTAACCTGATTAAGCAAGGATACAGGTGTGGGTCAGGCTGAACATACCCCACTATGGCTTTTTTGCAAAACTTCATATCAAATTTTATTTCAATTTATTAAGTCCTTCAAACATTTTGGAGCAGAAAATTACAATTCAGACCTTTATGATGCTTTCCAAACTCGTAAGAGAAAATTTAGCATTTGCTATGAAGAATTGCAGATCAATATGGTTTACTCTGAGAAAAGAAACCACAGATAATTTGGCGGCAAAACTTACATGTTCTAAGAAAGGACAAAGCTTCAAAAAAGTAAGTTATTTGCACGATTTGTGCAGAATATTATGACATTATAATTGTGATTATTTGTAGTATGTATACTTAATTACTAGAATCATTTAGTATATAAAATTAACCTTGTACTATTTCATTTACAAGTGAATTTGAGAAATGGGCTTGACACTACATAGAGAATTAGATGCAAGGAAAATTTATGTATTTTGTTAGCTTGTGGTCAGAATTAATTAATTCAGTATTATGTTACTTCCTAGTAGACCAGTGCATTTATTAATGAGTTATGTTAGAATTTACATATGCTTGAAATGTAAATTTGGAAACAGGGTTCACATAAGATTAATTATGGATGTATGGATACAGTTGAGCATGGATATTTGAATATTTCTATGAGTTGTATGGTAAAGAAATGTGTTTAATTATTGTGATGTTGTTCAGTATAGGAATATGTATAGATGTGGTGGAATTTATTGATGTATGTATAAAATGTAATTGATACTACCCTGTATTGTGACATTTATTTTACCATACAAGAAGTATGGGTATCTAGAAATTAAGGATGGAAGCTAGGACAGCCAATACAGATGACTCCAGTAGGAGTTCTGGAGGGAGCATACAAATTATTATGCCTTAAATCAATGACAAAGAAGAATCCATTGTCAATTTCCTGGTGTAAATTTGAGAAACTGGCATGCATTCTTAATATTCTTGAGCATCATGCTGATAGCAGAGCATGGATATTTGAATATTTTCATACTTTGTAGGAGTGTTCCAAAAGAAATGAGTCTGATTATTGTGATATTGTTTAGTTTAAGGACATTAGGTATAAGCACTGATGTAACAGAATTTATTTATATAGGTATAAGAAGTAATTGCTACCACCTGGAATTATGATGTTTGTTTTACCAGACAAGAAGGTACAGGTGAAGGAATGCCTGACCAAACAAATTTAATAGCCATTATCTGAGGATAGGCTGTCTGTAGGGTGAGATGAGAGGACTAAGGAAAAGATTGTACTGTCCTTGTGTTTTCATGGGGGAAACTTTGTAGGAGACAGAATTTCTGAGTACACTGGGTCCCAAGTCTTCCAGAGTTGGAGATGAAATTGAGACTGTAGCCAAGACAGTCAAAGTAAACAGAGGAGTAGTCATGGGAGAGAAAGTGGAGAAGGAGTCTAAGACAAAGTGGAGAAGTGAGGATAAAGTCCAGAAGGAGAAGGAATTTGTAGAAAGCAAGGGAGGAAAAGAATGAATTGGGAGAAACAGGAGAGAGAAAAGATACAAATGATGAGTAAAAAGACAAGGACAGGTGGAAATCAATCTCACATGGCTAATCAAGTGATGCAATAGGCTTATTAAAAGGTCCAGAATGGAGTGTAACTGGAAATAGTAGTAGTTTGATTATTGAATTATTAAATTGTTATTCATTGAAATTCAACTTTTTTTGTATATATAACCATCTAACTGTCAGCATTGCTGACTGGTGGCTTAGAGCTTTACAGTTATCTTTCACTGAAATTCACTACCAACAAAATAGAGCCTGGTGGGACTTCTATAATTAAATAAAATATTGGAAGCATCCTACCCCAACAACATACAGCTTTCACATGGCCAATTTGTTATTAATCCTATAAGTCTTTAAAAAGTTTTTGAGCAAAAATGAAACAAGTCCAAAGGGGCCTATACTCTAACAAACTTTTCCTACAAAATGATAAAAACTAACTCTGATGTAGAGCTCAGTATAAAGACTTGCACCAAATTCCATTTCAATCAATTAGAGTGTATTGTCTTGTAAGTTTACAGATATGGGTAACACTATATATGACCTACATACATTTGGGAGGGAGAAGCATACTAAAATTATAAAAAAAATTATCTCCACATGTTCATATATGTCTGCAATTCTATGTTTCATCAATTATTTTTCAGCAAGATACATAGTTTAAGAGCCTTGCCAAAAATATACCAAGCAAAATAAACCACAATAAAACTATACCCAATCCAGATAAGCTGTGGTTAGTTGTTAGTTGTGCTTTTAATTGCACTTTGAGGGCATATTAGCTAATATGGCCCAAGGCAAGGGAATCCAATCCTTTTTTTTATCCCTACAAATCCTTTAAGGAGGGAAGTCAAAGTCCACTAAACCTGAAATTCCAGGGATGTGTATGATCTCCTTAGAGCAGCACTCCCCTAAGGTGTGTAGTAACAAAATGTTAAGCAATCATTATGCAATTAGCTAGAACAACACAAATATCCCGGTAGGATCACATAAGGAAAGTTGGTTATACCCAGTATTTTGCCCCAGGGTGTAGTGTTTATTCCCACATAATACACTCTGGTCAGAAGGAGCACAAAGAGAAACCACATAATATACAAAAAGGAAAGTGCTATGTGAGTGATATATATATATATATATATATATATATATATATATATATATATATATATATATATATATATATATATATATATATATATATAGTGAAACACCCTGTTGAATTCATTGATCTGCTGATATATTGGAGGGACTGGTGATCTAGGTGATCTAAGTTCATTTCTTTCTGCAGGTACAAAGGACTATCATTACACATATGTGTAATACATGGCAGATTTTTGGGGTTTTGGATACTGCATTACAAAAAAGAAGTACTGTGTTTACCCACAAAACTATATGGTCTTAAGTGTAAAAAAAATGAATTAAATATACAAGGAAAGCTTGTAGGCCCATTTCATGCTTATTTAAGACACTTGATGTCTGCTTTTATCACAAAAAATAGATGACTAAGAAAGTTAAAAATATGAAAATGCTGAAACCTCAATTACAAGAAACAATGCATGAAGTGTTGTATGGAGTTGGAGAACTTTCCATATTATGCAATTTTTTAACATAATTTTAAAACTTTATCATAAAGAAGATAGGTTTGTTTGTTCAAATAATTTCTCCATATTGGCCTGGTTTTCAAAAATTCTTTTATTCTTTTTTCAATGCAATTTTGATAGTTTTTAAATAAATGACTAGATCCACATTATGATTTTGTCTTCCTTCTCATTTCCTCTGAAAATTAATCCTCTGATTTTTTTTAAAAATCTACACTGGAAATTGCATCTGAATGTAATTCAAATTCATAACAGCCAATAAATGAGGAGCAAGGTAACAGCTGTCAGTAAGTATAGTACAGTGTATCCAGATATGCCTTTGTCTAACTTGG